GGCAGGGATATGGCACCGTTGGCAGGGGCAGGAGGCTGCTGAGATACCATGCACGGGACGCGGCCCTACAGAGTGGAGGATGGGGGGTGGGACAGGGTGCCATGGGCCGTGAGGTGGGCTGTTGGACTGGGGTGGGGGGGGTGTGTGCAGAGCTATGCCGTAGGGTGAAGGAGGGGGTGGGATATGTTGCCATGGGCAGTGGCTGTCCCGGTGCCCATCTCAAGCATGGCTCTTCTCTGGCACACGCAGATCATCCTGAACTCCATGCACCGGTACCAGCCCCGCTTCCATGTGGTGTACGTGGACCCACGTCGGGACAGCGAGCGCTTCGCCCACGAGAACTTCAAATCCTTCACCTTCGCAGAGACCCAGTTCATGGCGGTGACGGCCTACCAGAACCACCGGGTGTGTGTGAGGCCCAGAAACCGGCCCCAGCCTACAGGGCACTGAGCCAGCCCTCCCTGGGCCCCAGGGCTGGACATTATAGTCCCCCTTCCTGTGATCCCTGCTCACAGGAGTCCCTCCCCCCCACACCATCTTCGGGCCACAGCGCCCCCTGCGGGGCAGGGCAGGGCTACGCAGTGCAGGCTCCATCCCCTCCCTGGGGTCACAGTGCCCCCTGCTGGGGAGGGTGGGGCTGGGTGGTGCAGGCTCCGCCCCCTCCCTGGGGTCACAGTGCCCCCTGCTGGGGAGGGTGGAGCTGGGTGGTGCAGGATCCGCCCCCTCCCTGGGGTCACAGCGCCCCCTACTGGGTGGTGGCCTCAGGGCTGATTTCATGCAGGGGATGCAGCGTCTCTCTGCAGGATTCCTGCCCCACTGCGCCTAGGGAGCAGCTGATGTGAGCAGGTGTCCCCGAGCTGCTGCCAGCCCCCTGGGGTGGGGTGGGGGGTCTCCGGGGCTGGTTTTGGAGGGCTGCTTCCCTCACCCTTCTCTCTCTCTCTGCAGATCACACAGCTGAAAATCGCCAGTAACCCCTTTGCCAAGGGGTTCCGAGACTGTGAGCCAGATGACTGGTAACTGCCCCTCCAGCACCCTCGCCACCCGGCGGGAGATGGGAGCACTGGTGACTCCCCTCCCCCCACAGGGTCCCACTGTCCTAACTACTGGGGGGGGGGGTGTCTCCCTCCCACCCAAGGGCTCATCCACTTGGCAGCCCCTCACACACGCAGCCCCTCCCCCCCGTCCCATCCCAAGAGAAGAGGGGAAGCGCAGCCAAGAGGGGCAAGTGATGGCACAAGGCGGAGGGGCCTACTATCACCTCCCCAGCAGCTCCCCCCCAGCTATGTACCCCAGTGCCCACTCCCACCCAGCCCCCACCAGCCACCCCCGGAATCAGTGCAGGATGGTTTGCACAGGTGCAAATTAGCTCATTAAATAGTTTGCAGCGAGGGTCTTCCAGGGGAGCTGTGCTCTGCTGGGGGAGGGGCACCTCTGGCCATCCTCCTGCCCCCCCCCCAAATGTCTCACCCCAGCTGGGCCCCCTCCCCATTTCTCACCTTCCCCCTTCTCATGTGCAGGCCTGGGGCATCAGGACCCCTGCTGGGCACCTTGGCCCGCACTCGAGGGACGGGCCCCTCCTCCCAGCTGAAGGACAAGCAGGAGAAAGGTAACCCCCACCCCCAGGGCTATTAGCTCTGACACCAGGGTGCTCCCCCCACCCCCAGCCCACCTGGAGAGCATGCAGGGGCAGGGCTGTTGCATACAGCTGGCGGGGTGCACCCCAGGGCTGGAGCTGCTGGGCTGGGGGCATGGGTGGTCGTAGGGGATGCGGGTGCTGGAGGAGCCCCGCCCCGGGGTCTCTTCATCTGCAGCTGGGCAGGGCAGGGCTCAAGGAGCCACAGACGGGTGCTGAGGCTCTTGGGCTCAGCCTCCAGCACTGGTTGAGGTAGGGGGCAAGGGGTGGAGCTAAGGCAGGGGGTGGGGCTCTCACACTGGCAGGGGTGGAGCCAAGGGAGAGGGTGGGGCTCTCGCACTAGCAGGGGCAGGGTTTGGGGACCTTGGCACAGCAGCCCTGCCGTGGCTGTGACCCAACCTTGTTCTCTGCTCTCTCCCCAGGGCTGCCGGGCCGGCGCCGTGTCCGGGGGCAGCTCCCCGCCACCCTCCTGCGAGAGGCCGCCCAGCTCCAGCACCCCCCGCTCGTGCCACTCGCGGGCGCCCGCAGTTTCCAGGACAGCTCGGCTCCGCGGCGCCCTCTCCCCACAGAGCTGGGGGCCCCCCTGTACAAGCCCCTCTCCTACCACAGCGTATACGTCGGGGCCAAGCCACGGGTGGCACCTTACCCGCTGCCCGCCAGCCTCCACCCATTCAACGTCTACGGCGCCAGCCCCCCTGCCCTCAACTACGGGCAGCAGTGATGGGTAGCGGGGTTGTCCCCCGGCTGCTTGGGGGCACATAGGACCCACTCTGACTCACCCCCCTTCCCAAGTACTCAGACGCCTGCCCCATGGCAAGCCCCAGCCGCAGCGTGACAGAGGCAGGCTCCAGCCTGAGAGTCTCACTAGAAGCCCCCCCGGCTGCCCGGCTCACAGTATCCCTGGCCAGGCTGGGCTCCTCCTATCGTAGCCAGCTGCTGGGGGCAGGGCTGCATGGCTCCCTCCCTCTCCGCTGCTGCAGGGCCGGCCCCCCCAGGCCACGAGGCTCTCACTTTGGGCCATGAGCTGCCCCACAAGTCTCCCCAGCGTGTGGCCATTAAACTTCCCTGCCCGAGCCTTTGGTGTGGGGGGAGCCCTGAGCACTGCCCCTGGGAATGGGAGCCACATGCCCAGGACACAGGGCAGGGCAGTGCCCAGAGCACATGGCTGGTCAGATCCTGCCCCCCCCTCCCGCCCAGGCAGGAGCTGCCTTCATCACCCCCCTCCCTCCCAGCCAGTGCTGACCAGGGTGCAACCAACAGAGCCTTGGCCCCAGCTGGCCTGGCACATGATCCACACCCAGGGGTGCTGGCCCAGTTTAGCAAGGGGAGACAGCGCCAGCTGGTGCTAGTGTAGGGTAACTGCAGCGCCACTCCGGCAGGGGCTGTGCAAGGTGCCCCTCGAGTGAGACATGCGGGGAGAGCTGCCCGGGCAGAGGGCAGGGTAGGTTCACGCTCCAGAGCCGGGAGCTCAGCTGGCCAGGCCCCGTGAGCGCCACCAGAGGCCCGGCGGGTTCCCGTCACACACCGACAGGGACGGGACAGTTTCACTCTTTAATCGTACAAAAGCCAGGACAGACGTAATCTGTGCCCAGGCAGGGAGCACCAGGCTCCGGCAGGCAGCAGATGACAGCACCAGACCAAAGGGGAGGGGAGGGGCAGGGGAGGGGAAACAGCGCCAGGCTTAGGGGGGCGGGGGGCAGCAGCCAGGGTAGAAGGTGCAAACCCACAGGGAGCCCCCTGCCCCAGGACAGGGCGGGAGGGGGCACCATCCCCTTGAGGTGAGGGTGGCGGGGGGCACCTGGTGCCGAGCTGGCCCTACTCCCAGCTGTCGGGGGGGAAGGCAAAGGGGCTCAGCTTGTACCCGGCGCCCACGTAGAACTTGTTCTGGAATTCCACCCTGCAAACAACACAGGAGGGGGGTCAGCGCAGACATCACCCCCCAAAACTCACCCAGGGCCTCCCCCATCCCAGGGGCTGCCCCACCCCAGACCCGCCCATCCCCCACACCCCAGAGTCCAAAGCAGCTCCCCCCTCCCCCCACTGCGAGTATGGGGCGGGGGGGCTCACCAG